TTCTAAGTTGTCATGTTTCTGAAAAGTTATAGTAAGCAATATGGTTAAAAAAGATTGAACTCCTAGTGTGTACGCCCAAAAACGCGGTGAACACGCAAATGCTTGTTTTTAGATTTTGTATATATTGATGACATCTACGACATCTTCAAAGTATGCATAAAGCCGATATTACACTATTCAATTTCGGTTTAATATTGCTTTCAATTTAATTGCTTCAATGGTATTGGTACGTCTAAATACATTTCAATGTGATTACGCAATCTCATTGAAAGCTAAAGCCGACCTGGGACAAGATGAAGCTGTAAGAGTCGCATAGACTAACAGCATTAACATCTAGATAATAGAGATATATTACACGGTTCAATTTCGGTTCAATATTGCTTTCAATTTAATTGCTTCAATGGCATTGATACGTCTAAATACATTTCAATGCGATTGCGCAATCTCATTTAAAGCTAAGATTCGCCGAACCCTTTCAATGGAATTGTGGCAATATTGATCATGGTGACTCATTCCGCGCGCCGCATGACAGCAAAGCGTACGCACACGCACCTATTTCGTCTGCGCAAATGTGTTTAAAATGGGTTTTAAGTGACGTGACAGTCAGACAAGAAATTCATTATATTGACTTTCCGTCATTCGCAAATGGTTCAAATATGAATTTGGACCACCTTCTGCCAATTCTACAAATAAGGTGCTTGAGGCTCCTTTAGTTATCCTTCTCGAAATCAAACAACAATGCCGATTTTTTTTTCATAAAACTCATTTATTAAATAGTCACAGATTAACGAAATTCCCGCAAGGACAAGTTGGCGCGACATCGCAATGCGTTTTGAACATTGAATGCCAATTAATGATATACGTGTACATTGGTAAAGTTGTTCAATGTGCAATTCAATGCGCTTTTCAATAGAATTGTTTCAATTTGATTGAACCGTGTAATATCGGCTTACGAAAATACGTGAAACCACACTGCCGCTATATAGTCGGCTCGATCGGGAATGGACCACGCCTTCAAAGAATACCAGCATAAAATAGCAGCATTGTTATCAGCGTACCAACGCTCCTGTGCTTCGAATAACGAAAACCGGAGCCCCTTAACTGACAAAATTCTATTAGTGCCTCAAGGAATATTATACGGACGGGTGTTAGGAGTCAGACATATTACTTCGAAAACATATCTTGATACAACTTATAATAAACTCTTTATATGTTCTTGCTCAAGACATAGAAGAGCTCGAACCGATGTAACAGAGACTGGCGCAGTTTAGCCTCTCAAAAACCCCAAGTGGTCGGATCCGACCAAGGCAATATTCCGTCAAATTCCAAACGGTCGAATCCGACTTCGCACACCCACAGCAATTTAAATCATTAAAACTTATATTTAAAGACTACTTTTCTATGAAGAGGTTTGGCATTATAGAATCAATATAAAATTTTCTCTAAATATAAGTTTTAATGGTTTAAAGTGCTGTGGGTGGGTGCGGTCGCATACGACCGCTTGGGATTTGAGGGATGCATGCGACTGCATGGGATTTTTATGGGGATTGAAGGGTTAAAGATATTTCCCATCTAAATATGTTGTAACAACCTGTTATTTTGGAACAGGCTACCGGAACCGTTATTTCAAAGGAACAGAAACTGGTAACAGTTTGCTAACTTTACCGAGTGTAGCCCACACCTATTTGATGTTAGCTTCAGTTAGTAAATTGTGTATAAATTTCAATGGGATCCACCATATTTATCATTTCTGCACTCCGTCGTCGATCTTAGTATTTTCATTTTTATATAACAATAATATCCTCCAGACCGAATTCCGGCCACGGCGGCCTGCCTCAACGGAGACGGAGCCATCGGCGCAGGGCAGGATTATAGTGCCCAAGTGTATGCGCAAGCACAGGTGCACTCTCTATTCCCTCACTCTCATAATCCGATGGGATGGTAAACCGACACGACTGGAGAGATCAGGCGCAGGACCAACGCCTTTACGTACTTTCCGAGGCACAGGGGTGAGACACCGCCAACTTCTTGAATCCGGGCAACTACTGGGGATTTCTTGAAGGAAAAACTCAATAATTAATTTTTTGGCCCGACCCGGGATTCGAACCCAGGACCTCATGATCAGCAGTCGCACTACTACAACCACTAGACCAACGAGGCAGTCATTCTTTATATACGCAACTAGCGACCAGCGGCCATTAAGTATTACTGGCCTTTCTCAAAGTCGCCTCACCATTACCATTTGAGCTTATAAAAGTTCACTTCTAAATATAGACCTCCCCCATAAATTGCTTCATAGGGGTGATTTTGCCAAAGTTGCCAAACTTGGTATGCGGGTTACCCAACACCTATTCATAAGTAGTGAGGGTAGAGCCCGTGGAGTCTTTTTTTTATAGAATAAGGGTGACAAACGAGCACACAGTCCACCTGATGGTAAGTGGATGATGTGGCCCATATACATCTACATCTATCATCGATTAGAATTTAAAAAAAATGCTGATTAACGTCCTGATGTCAAAATTAACCCGGAGTACCTTAAGCTGTTTAATTATTACTTTTGGTTCAAGCTACGCAGAATGAACTTACTGTTTTTAACTCTCGCAGTGGTATGCTTGGGTTTAATTTTAATTCTATTCATTATGTACAGTATCCCAAGTAGGTGGTGGTACACAGCTTCCTGCTTTATTAAAATTAGAATGTCTTTTAATTTCAATAGCAATCGATGTTCTTTCGCGAGGATTTGTGGTCTATCAAATCTGATGTCATATCAGAGGCCGACTAGGATATGATCACAAACTGCAGACTTCCCGGAGCGTTATTGTTTCACGTCAGCTATATGTATTTTATGCTGGTTTTATAGACCTTCTTATTTACTACTCAGGGTTAAGTTTGACATTGGGACGTCAATCAGCTCAGTCTCCGTGACCATGGCTGCTGCAAAGCAACCGAAACGTCGGAAACTTAGAATAAGTAGTATGAAACGCGATAAAATACATAAAAGTATTGATTAAAACTACTTTTACGGATTTTATCGCGTTTTATTTATTTTTTTTAATACCCGACGTTTCGGGTGCTTTCCAGCACCCATGGTCACGGCGGGACTGAGGTGACTGACGTCCCGATGTCAAAGTTAACCCGGAGTACCTTCAGCTTTTTAATTATTGTCTTTGGTCCGATCTACGCAGAATGAACTAACTGTGTTTTGTAACATGCCGTCAAGTGTCATATTCCTCTACAAGATGCAGGAGTGTACAAGCTTGATTGTGATTGTGGTCTCTCATATATAGGGCAAACAAAGAGATCAATTAGAACCCGCGTAAAAGAACACATAGCTGACGTGAAGCATATCAACGTTCCGGGAAGTCTGCAGTTTGCGATCGTATTCTAGATGGCCCCAACCATTACATCAGATTTGATAGACCACAAATCCTCGCGAAAGAACATCGATTCCTACCAAGGATGATACGTGAGGCTATTGAAATTAAAAAACATCCTAATTTCAATAGAGAAGGAGGCTGGGTACTACCACCTGCTTGAGATCCTATAATTAATAAAATTATAACTAAACCCAAGCATACCACTGCAAGAATTCAAAATACAGTTAGTTCATTCTGCGTAGATCGGACCAAAGACAATAATTAAAAAGCTGAAGGTACTCCGGGTTAACTTTGACATCGAGACCTCAGTCACCTCAGTCCCCCGTGACCATAGGTGCTGAAAAGCACCCGAAACGTCGGGTATTAAAAATAAAATATAAAACGCGATAAAATCCGTAAAAGTAGTTTTAATCAATGTATAGTGTTCGGGTAAATATAAGAAATCATTACATAAAAGTAGTTTTATTCAATAGGAGGCTGTTGCTTTTTGACGCGACGAAACACCATTATATAACTGCGGCATCAAACTGCGGAAAATGCGGAAACAAGTATTTGTATGATTTACAAATAATTGTTTTCATGCCATCTTATCGGGTTCAACTGGATATACTTTTGCAGTTTGTGCAAAACGCATCCACGATACATTAAAAAAAATACGGTTGACCCTATATAGGCCATCCGTGGAACTTCCCACGAATTTCAAATGCGGAGCGCTCCAAATTGTACTATAAGTAGCGCTACAAACTGTTAATTAATGATTTTGAAAACACTTTTTTTTTTTTCAAATTGAATATTTCACGAACAAATCAACCGATTTTGAAAAACTTGACGGTGTTCGACGCAGTTTTTTAAGCACTCATAGTTAATTTACTACATTACAAGCGACAGTAGCCTAATGGCAGGGCGCTGACCGCGAACTCAAAAAGGTCGTGGGTTCGAATCCGCCATTCGACTACTGGCGTGAACCACTCGTAACACAAGCAATTTAAGCTTACCACGAGTGGATAAGGGGAATATTAGTAATGTTTATAGCATTGTTGATATTTTTTTATTTAAATTAAAAATAAATTAAAAAAATATTACAGTAAAAACGATTCAAGAAAAAATTTCGAAGTTATTTGAAAAGTCCTTATTCGTTATATTACTGTAACGATTTCTCCTCAACGCATCAACCGCTTTTCATGCAGTTTGCAGCTATCGAAGGCAGTTTTTGAGTTTAAGAGCTGATTAGATTTTGGAATTGATCGTTACATTTCTTTAAAAATACTTCAAAAAAAAAATTTTTTGAAAATTTTATTTTTCAGATTTCTCTAAATCTACTGGTCCAAATCGGTTCAAATGGTATAGAAAATCTAAGTTTGGTGACACTTTCGAACGCCGCCAAGTTCGTTTAAATCGATCACATTTAAAAGTTATGAGAAGGTTACATACATACGTACACACACTCGTAGAAGTAGCCAGAACGGCTTCCGAAGACCTCAAAATGTCGAGATCTGATGAAAACTCGATTTCCGAAACTGGGATGAAACCAATAACATTCCGATTTTTTGAAAATCATTAATTTTCATAGCGTGAAGTTAACAATTGGAAGCTTTAAGAAAATAACAATTCAATGGAACGTACCTGTAGTGTGGATGACACGGAATGAGCTCTTTGGTGCACCATCATCTCGTCGTTTTCGGTTTTCGGCTGTAAATAAAAAATCATTAGTTATTACAATTTAATAATTACCGATTTAATTATAAAGAAGTTACTTTTATAAATACTATTAAAATTAAGTTTTACGTAGCTTTTGTCAGGTGATGGAGTAATCATCTCGTAAATGACAGATCCAAAATTAGCAGACATTGTTTTATTATTTTGATTAACAGTGGAACGAATGTAGGCTCTTCTTATATGTTAGATTCTTTTTCTGCAGTTGTATCGTTTCTACGTAATTTTTCTACTACCATCAAAGATAAAATTATTTTGATCCTTTTTTTCATGGTTTAAAGATTGACAGGGGTTAACCCCTGCACTAATCGAGACGTATTTCTTTTTTTCTTCCGCCTATTTGATCTTTTGCCTTTAGTTCGTAGAAATGAGAGCTAATCTATCGCTTTTGTCACGTATATGATGTGAGTGAATATGAGGAGAGAGAGGGAGAGAGAGTGATGTAGTATATGCTCATCATGTACTCGTATATGTACGATAAAGAGACATTCAGATAGCATTAAATCTACAATCAAGACTACTAGACGTGTTATTTATTCCCCGAATCTCCCAACATTACAGTGAGTAGGAGGGGAAGAGAAGGAGGAAGAGAGTGAGAGAAAGAAATAAATATGGAGAGCAATTCATATATTTACGTCATACGCGGGCTCATTGAGAAGTCGCCTTTCGCTTACATCGTTCTGTTGCGAGTGTTTGCTTGCGAGGGAGCGAGAGCACGGTACATATGCATGTCGCTTGCTTGCTAAGCCGACGGCGGCTCGTCGGGCACGCGGCGTGCACTGCAGCTGTCTCACGCGCGGCGGTGCGTGCGAGCGGGACGGATGAAGCGCGTACCTGCGCGGGCGAATCGGCGGGCGGTGGCTCGTCGTGCGCTAGGCGTGCAGTGCAGCTGTCTCGCTCGCGGAGGTGTGTGCGAGCGGGACGTAGGGAGGGCGTACCTGCGCGGGCGAGGCGGCGGGCGGCGGCGTGCAGTGCAGCTGTATAGCGTGGAGCGGTGCGCGCATGCGGGACGGACGTGCGAGTACCTGCGCGAGCGAGGCGGCGGGCGGCGGCTCGACGGGCGCGCGGCATGCAGTGCAGCTGTCTCGCGCGCGGCGATGCATGCGAGCGGGACGAATAGAGCGCGTACCTGCGCGGGCGAAGCGGCGGGCGGTGGCTCGTCGTGCGCTAGGCGTGCAGTGCAGCTGTCTCGCTCGCGGAGGTGCGTGCGAGCGGGACGTAGGGAGGGCGTACCTGCGCGGGCGAGGCGGCGGGCGGCGGCGTGCAGTGCAGCTGTATAGCGTGGAGCGGTGCGCGCATGCGGGACGGACGTGCGAGTACCTGCGCGAGCGAGGCGGCGGGCGGCGCATCGACGGGCGCGCGGCGTGCAGTGCAGCTGTCTCGCGCGCGGCGATGCATGCGAGCGGGACGAATAGAGCGCGTACCTGCGCGGGCGAAGCGGCGGGCGGTGGCTCGTCGTGCGCTAGGCGTGTAGTGCAGCTGTCTCACGCGCGGCGGTGCGTGCGAGCGGGACGGACGGAGCACGTACCTGCGCGGGCGAGGCGGCGGGCGGCGGCTCGTCGGGCGCGCGGCGTGCACTGCAGCTGTATCGCGTGGAGCGGTGCGCGCAAGCGGGACGGACGAGCGAGTAACTGCGCGGGCGAGGCGGCGGGCGGCGGCTCAACGGGCGCGCGGCGTGCAGTGCAGCTATATAGCGTGGAGCGGTGCGCGCAAGCGGGACGGACGAGCGAGTAACTGCGCGGGCGAGGCGGCGGGCGGCGGCTCAACGGGCGCGCGGCGTGCAGTGCAGCTGTATCGCGTGGAGCGGTGCGCGCAAGCGGGACGGACGAGCGAGTAACTGCGCGGGCGAGGCGGCGGGCGGCGGCTCAACGGGCGCACGGCGTGCAGTGCAGCTGTATCGTGTGGAGCGGTGCGCGCATGCGGGACGGACGAGCGAGTAACTGCGCGGGCGAGGCGGCGGGCGGCGACTCGACGGGCGCGCGGCGTGCAGTACAGCTGTATCGCGTGGAGCGGTGCGCGCATGCGGGACGGACGAGCGAGTAACTGCGCGGGCGAGGCGGCGGGCGGCGGCTCAACGGGCGCGCGGCGTGCAGTGCAGCTGTATCGCGTGGAGCGGTGCGCGCAAGCGGGACGGACGAGCGAGTAACTGCGCGGGCGAGGCGGCGGGCGGCGGCTCGACGGGCGCGCGGCGTGCAGTGCAGCTGTATCGCGTGGAGCGTTGCGCGCAAGCGGGACGGACGAGCGAGTAACTGCGCGGGCGAGGCGGCGGGCGGCGACTCGACGGGCGCGCGGCGTGCAGTGCAGCTGTCTCGCGCGCGGCGATGCATGCGAGCGGGACGAATAGAGCGCGTACCTGCGCGGGCGAAGCGGCGGGCGGTGGCTCGTCGGGCGCACGGCCGGCCAGCAGCGGGCTGGCGGTGGCGCTGGCGACGGGCGTGGCAGCGCCGCTGCCGCCGTTCGCCGCGCCCTTGCCGCCGCACTGCTGCGCCTGGATCGCCTCTTTCACCTCTTGGAACTTCTCGATAAACTGCCGACGGGAATAAATTATGACTTTTTATCAGAAACAGAAACTTTTTATTCAATATGGATTATAAATAATACTTATTGAAAATCACTTTTTTTCATTACCACTGGTTCGAAAAAGAAGTATCACCGACTTATATATACTACGTAATCTTAGGAGCGATTATCTAACATCTCTATCGACTAGCTATCCCTACACGCGCGAATGTCTCGGAAAGCCAACTTCAGTCCGACCAAGATAGAATGCAAGAAAGATATAAGCTGCAGAAAGTTCATGCGAAAACATTGATTGAGGAAGTACGTGAAAGGTGTAGAATAGAAGCGGAGGAGAGGTTGTCGCAAAACTTTAAGGAAAACTCCAAACTCTTCTGGAAAGAGGTTGGAAGGTCCCGGGGTGGTGCGACAGCCTTAAGAATGAACAAAGTGCTTTCGAGAACCAATGACGTCCTCTCAGAAAGATCGGACGTCATGCAGCGATGGAGTGAATTTTATAGAGAAATGTATGCGTGTCATGATCTTAGTGAAGGATCTGGAGGTGACGCCGTGACTGGCACGCCAGACACGGACCTCGATGACACTGAGGTCATCAGCATGAAAGAGATTGAACGTGCGATTCGAAGTTTGAAATGTGGTAAGGCTGCGGGACTAGACAGAGTTACTGCTGAAATGGTCAAGTACGGTGGGCCTCGCGTCTGGGCCAGCTTTCGTCTGCTGTGCAATTTGTGCTGGCGGACGGGAGATGTCCCGGATGATTGGCGATCCGCGGTCATTGTGCCTTTATATAAAGGTAAAGGTTCACATTTTGACTGCGGGTGCTATCGGGCGATCAGCTTGACCAGTTTAGCAAGAAAAGTTTACTCGAAGGTTTTGACACTTAGGATGCGAGAGAAATCGGAAAGATTCTTATGGGAGGCACAATGCGGATTTAGACCTGGAAGAGGATGCACGGACAAATGTTTTCTCTCCGCATGATCACGGAAAAGCTTCTGAGTGTTAACCAGAGGATTTTCTGTGCTTTTTTGGATCTGGAGAAAGCATTTGATAAGGTTATAGGGAAGAAAGTGTGGGAACTGTTGCCGGGATATGGTGTGGATGGTCGATTGTTAAGGGCTGTGCAGTCACTTTACTATGACTGTAAAGCCTGTGTGCGGGTAGGGCATGACCTGTCACCCATGTTTAGCGTCCAAGCGGGCGTAAAACAGGGTTGTGTCATGTCTTCCTGGCTGTTCATACTGTATCTCGACAGCTGTTTACAGAAGCTGAAAAATAGCTGTTTGGGTGTGAAATTGGGTGACATTAAAGTTAATTGTCTGCTGTATGCTGATGATGCAGTGCTTATTGCACCATCAGAAGTAGAACTGCAGGCATTAGTCACATGTATGAAAGAGGAATGTGAAATTAAAGGTCTCCGTTTGAATGCTAATAAAACTAAGGTTCTGGTATTTGAAAAGGACGAAGAGAGAACGAAATGTGAAATATGGGTAAATCAGGAATGTCTAGAACAGGTAAATGAAATTGTATACTTGGGGAGTGCTTTCAGCCGGGATGGAAGATGTGATTTAGATGTGGATAGGCGTGTCGCTTCTGGAAACAAAGCTAATGGTGCCCTGAATGCATTAGTCAAAAGGCAAGGCGTGGTGAAGAGTGCACGCCTTGCAATACATAACGCAGTGTTGGTACCGACTTTGTTATATGGCAGCGAAACCTGGGTATGCCAGAAGAAGCATAAAAGCAAGTTGAATGCAGTGGAGATGCGATCTCTTCGTAAAATGTGTGGCGTTACCATAGCCGACCGAAAGCGAAACGAAGAGATTCGCAATGTGGCAGGATTGAAAGATGACCTTATCACAAAAATTGATAGGGGCGTACTCCAATGGTTTGGGCACGTTGAGCGAATGAGTGAAGACTGAATGGTGAAGAAAATATATAGAGCGAAAGTAAATATTAAAAGGTGTCGTGGTAGCCCGAGACTAACTTTCGAAGACCATGTGAGCAAATTGCTCGAAGAGGGGAGGGTCAAGAGTACTCGGATACCTAGACGTGCATGTTTGAAGAAGTTAATGAACCTGAAAGAAGCGAAAGAGGTATGTAAGGATCGTGACACTTGGCGTACGACATAGAATGCGCGGACCTTACGTTTATTAACAAATTAATAATGTTAAGGGAGCCCACAGAGCCCGAATTTATCTTAACCTCTTTTAACTTGGCTTTGTGTTGCATATACGTGTTAGTAGTAGTAGAAGTAGTAGTATATACTTTATTGTACACCACACATATACAACGAATAAATACATTACAGAGAAAACTTAATCGTATGTACAATAAGGCGGTCTTATCGCTAAAGAGCGATCTCTTCCAGACAACCTTCGGGCTAAGGAGAAACTGGAATTAAGAACAGTAGGACGTGGTGCGTTTTATGTTACACTTACATTCTAATATCTAAACGTTACGTGTTAGTCTAGTTGCAGGTGTATTATGATCGTAGCATGAAGGAGTCGGCCCGACCAAAGAAGGACCACGCTCTCGCAGAATGCAGATAGACTAAGCCAGCAAAAAATAGCAACTTAATGGTGCTGTTTCGTATGGTGAGCATAGAGAACCAGAGAGACATTTTACTAGAAACGAGGCATTGTATCTTATTCCTTAGTGGTGATAACACATTCCGCATTTTGATTTGGGAATATATGTAGATATCTAAGAGCCACAGCGTCCATTTACCGAAATGTGAGCCCGTTTATATTCTATATAAAAAAGAATACAATGGTTGTTGAGTTCCTGCGCCCTCCTTTCTGCCAAGGAGGGTCGCGTTCGTATACGGCTTAGAGATCTCTAGTTGGCTCTAGTTAAGCCAATTCCTAAAAGGTTGGGTTTAGTGGGTAAAAGTCACCACATAACCACGCAGCCGGCTGCGTGGTATGCTATGAGCATTCCCAACCTCCCTCCCCCGCTTTACGGAGGGTTGCCCATATTTCCCTCGGGCGCAAAAAAAATTGTTGAGTTGCTACATCTAAGACCTCCTATTGTTTTCGCTGTTTATTTATTTTATAGTGTGATTTGTTTTTCTTTAGATTGCAATAAAAATACAGAATAATAATAATAATAATAAAAATAAAACCCAACCAGATGAGAAAACTAGATAGAAACCGCACATAATAATAATAATAATGTCCTCCAGACCGAATTTTCGGCCATGGCGGCCTGCCTCAACGGAGACTAGCCATCGGCGCAGGACAGGATTATAGTGCCCAAGTGTATGCGCAAGCACAGGAGCACTCTCTATTCCCTCACTCTCATAATCCGATGGGACGGTAAACCGACACGACCGGAGAGAGATCAGGCGCAGGATCAACGGCTTTACGTGCTTTCCGAGGCACTTGGGTTAGACACCACCAACTTCCTGACTCCGGGCAGCTGAGAATTTCTTGACGGAAAAACTCAATAATTGATTTTGTTGGCCCGACCCGGGATTCGAACCCAGGACCTCATGATCATCAGTCGCACTACTACAACCACTAGATCAACGAGGCAGTCAATACAGAATAATAATATTATTATAAAGGCATGGTTTTCCTATATTTAAATCCGATTTATGGTTCAATAGCTTGTTTAATTTCTTGTACCCTCACCTTGCCCAACTCAGCCTCAGATGCAAATCCGAGCCCATACACTGTGTTAGCGCGCACGTCGCTCCATTGGCCGAACTTCTGCGAGGTCTTCGTGAACGTCATGTTGGCAGTAATAGTGCTGTTTATCACCGCCTGCCAATATTTAAAAAAAAACACACAAATTATATTGTTATGTTATCTGAGACGATCTGAGCCGTGGTAGCTCAGATGGTTAATGCTTGCTGTAAACATAACAGAACGCGAGTAACCCGGGTTCGATCGCGCCAGCACCAATGAAATTGTTAAATACAATTTTAAGTGCTGATTTACCATGTGCTCTGCGGTGAAGGAAAACGTTGTGAGGAAACCTGCATGTCTGAGGAATAAGAAAAAAACATATTATATTTCACAGACATGTGAAGTTCGCCAAAACGCATTGGGGCAGCGCGGCGGACACTTCCTTGCCCTAAAGCCCTCTCAGAAATGAGGGGAGGCCCGTGCCCAGCAGTGGGACGTATATAGGCTGTAATTTAACTAACTTTTATCTGAGACGAAACATATTTTATAACAGGACTTTGAAATACTCGGGGACCTAAGGTGATTTTTAACGAAGAACCACACACCGAAAAACCAAAACTACAAGTGGTATAGAACTGTTAATCTGGTCACATATATCATAAAAGATATACGTCAGAGTATACGCGTCATAAAAATATCAGAACCTATCTAGATCATCAGCAACTACCCGCGTAAATCCTACTATCGGACTAGGTTAGCAATAAGAGAAACTAAAGGTTAAGATAAGAATTTCGACGTTAAAAGGCTTTCTCCCTTTCCGCTGCATGCATATTTTCTAAGCACAAAGTAAGCACAAGACACCCGGTAGATAAAAAAATTATTTTTAGAAACGTTTTTATTTATTTTCAGGAAATATAAATTTCTAAATAAAAAAACAATACATAGCTGATTAAAAATCTATTTCAATAACATGCCTTTCACATTATCGAAAAATATTAAGTACCTATAGTTATCGTTTAAAAAAATGAGAACATGAACTTTTTTATCTCGATTAAAGTAAAGTATATTAAAATTCCAATTGATTATGAATTTAATTGATTTCATGAATGCGCATATTTTTTCCGGGGACTGTTTAATTCGTCTAAAATACGATATTTTATCCAACATGGCCTCCGTGTGATGACGGCACCCCCATTTCATCCCACGGGTGTCGAAAGAGAAGTCTATTGGAAATACTTATGCCATAGCTAAAGGTACAACTGAGGTGTGTTGCCGGTGACGAGTGGTGACATATGAGTCTGAGACGTGATCCTTCATTGTTGGTCGTATGAAGAAGCTCAAGGTCGTTTAGCACGATACGAAGAGCTCTATGCCGGAGTATGTCTGGGTAACAGACTTCGTAACGAGGATACCCGCGGTAGAAACAGAGTGAAAAACATACTTCAACGGATCAATAGCTGAAGTGGCAATGGGTCTAACCGGATAACTCGAAGAACCGACCGCTGATGGGGAAGAAAACTTATCAAGTGGCAGCCTTGTACCGATAAGCAAAGTGTAAGGTGGCCCCCCACTAGATGGTGTGACGAACTGGACCGTGCAGGAAGTCGATTGTCACAGGTAGCTCAAGATCGGACTTCGTGGGATTCTTTGGGGAAGGCCTATGTTCAGCAACGGACTTGTGGTGGGCAGTGATGATAACGATAACTAGAAAAATCCTAAGAGAGCGTGAAAATTAACTTCTTTTTTTTATAATTCTTTTGCACTTAATCGATACAATACACAAACGAACGACGTAATTCAAAATTACTTCCTTTCAAAAATTGATCAAACCAATAAAAAGATTTCAATAGAAATCGTTCCCAACTCAACTGCAAACATTATTTCGAGCTACGTCAAGGTGTCTGGTCTCTATACAAACGCGTTCTCAACATTCATCGATCCATCTAAATCTGAAGCCACTTCAGTTCTGATATCAAATATAAACTTTATCAGAGTTGTAGAATTTCTAAATTGAATCTCGTTGTAGCAGCCAGATTAATCAAACCTGAACGGGAATAAGTAATATATACTCCGCTGCTACCATAACGCGGAAGGCGAGAATAAATAAAAAAACATTTTATTTCCTAATTATTCTTGGCTACTGAGATACTGCGGACTGTATATAGATAATTTGACGTTCTTATAAAGAAACAAGAAGCAGCCGCAAATATCATTCAGCGCCACACCGACTTCACACGCCGCTATCGTCACGTATCCGTCGACCAATGGTGAGCCGTTTCTTCAACGCCGCAGTTCGTTTCCTCTTGCTGTTCCGGAGCTGTATTCCACACCGCCGCCGCCCGCCGACTACGCGTGCGCACCGATCTGCATGTCTTATATAGCCCGGTCCAGCGACGTAGCTTCGGGACCAACAACCAAGTCTCACGCCGGGAAACGAAACGTAGATAATTGTATATTTTAAATAGTTTTCATTGGTCATAAAATAAGCAATATAATTGGCTAGGCAAAATATTAATTGTTACCATTGGCAAATCAATAGTGAGCCAGCCATATAAATATAGGCAAGGTTGATGCAAAATATATTCCATCCCGAATCCCATTCGACAGTACATTCATAAATATAAACAGTAGTTTCATTTCTCCACCTTAAAGAAAACCACTCGGAGTCTGTTAATAGTGGACAGTTCGTCTCCACTATTACAGTGGTGACCCCGTACGAACACCGAGGGGGGAAGATCCGTACGAACACCGAGGGGGGAAGATCCGGTACGAACACCAAGAAGGAACACCCTGCGACGTACCACTACTATTGCACGAACACCGCGAAGGAAACCCGTACGAACACCGAGAAGGAAGACTTCAGTTTATATAAAATCAGTGTAATCAAGCCGTCATTATGGAGCAGGAGGCAAACACATATACATCAAACCCGGTAAAGGAACCAGAAATCGCCGGTATATCTCTATCGTTAAGAATACCACCGTTTTGGAGAGACAAACCACGACTTTGGTTCGTCAGTTTTGAAGCCGCAACGAATGGTTTAAAGAAGAGCCAAGCGCAATTAGCACAGATGGTGATAGCCCAACTTGAGAAACAAGACATCGAACAAATTGCGGACCTGTTGTACAACCCACCAGCAGTCGACCAGTATAATTCACTGAAGGATCGTCTGATCTCCGCATACGAAGAATCCGACAGTCGACAGCTACAAAAACTTCTATCAGAAATAGAACTTGGAGACCAGAAACCCACACAACTCCTACGCAAAATGCGTACTTTGGCGCGGGATAAAGTTCCGGATTCAACACTACGGCTAATGTGGATAAACCACCTACCACCACATATTCGATCGGTAATAGCAGTCAGCGAAACATTCAGCACGCAGACGAAGCTCGACGAACTGGCACTCCTGGCGGACAAGATGATCGAAAACAGCAGTAGCTCACACATATCGATCATCGAAGGCACTTCAACAAAGGCCAATGATACCCAGTTTCTTCTCGAAGAAATTCGGAAGCTATCATTCGAAGTCGCCGCGCTCAAAGCTTCCCAGCATCATACCTTTTACCAGCAACAGTACAACCAGCGCAATCAGCAACACCGAAGATCACCTTTTTCGTCGCAACCGCTCTGCAAGTAGAAGTCGAATAAGCTCAACATCAAGATCCCCTTACTGCTACTATCATCGACGTTTCGGGGTCGAGGCAAGAAAATGCACAGCACCGTGTACATTCAAAAATGAAAATACGAATACGGAAAACTAACTAGTACGCTCGATGCGACGGGATCCAGCGTAACAGCAAAGTCCTACCGTCTTTTCGTCACCGATAAAAAAAGCAAGCTCACTTTCCTTATCGACACCGGAGCAAATATCTCAGTGTTACCGCCGAAGCAAGGACAGAAGTTGAAGCCACTAGATTTTCAACTCTATGCAGCAAACAATACGGTTATTCCTACATATGGAGAAAAAACAATGGAACTTGATTTTAATCTACGCCGACCATTCAAATGGAGATTTATCGTCGCTAAAGTCAGCAAACCAATCATCGGTGCTGATTTTCTTCAACATCACCAGTTGGTCGTCGACATCAAAAATAGAAGAATCATCGACGGGAAAACCAATCTTGCATCTCAGTCTTTTGTACAAGCAACCAATCTGCCCACAATAAGAAGCATAGATGTGCAACAACCGTATCACAAGATCCTCGAAGAATACCCTGGTATCACAAGAATAACTTCAATGAAATTAACACCGAAGAACGACGTTGAGCATTTCATCGACACCAATGGACCACCACTTCATTGTCGTGCACGTCCAATCGCACCACACCTATACGAGCAAGTTCGAAAGGAATTCGAAAACATGATTGAGCAAGGAATATGCCGTCCAAGCAAAAGCCCTTGGTCATCACCACTTCACATTGTACCGAAGAAGAACGGAGAATTACGAGTTTGTGGAGATTACAGAAGACTGAATTCTATTACCACTCCTGACCGCTACCCAATACCGCGAGTCAGGGATTTCACTCATCAACTATCAGACAAGACTATATTCTCCACCATCGATCTCAACCGAGCTTACCAACAAATAAGAGTCCGCGATGAAGACATAGAGAAGACAGCAATAATTACCCCAATGGGATTATTCGAATTCCCAAGAATGATCCCAGGATTAAAGAACGGAGGTCAAACTTTCCAAAGATTCATACACGAAGTACTTCATGGACTGGATTTCGTTTTCGCATTTATTGATGATCTCCTTGTTGCAAGCCCTGATAAAGAAACGCACGAAACCCATCTACGCACCGTGCTACAGCGATTAGAAGACAACGGAATCACAATCAACCCTTCGAAATGCATATTTGGACAGCAAGAAGTTCAATTTCTTGTTTTCACCGTCAGCAAGGAAGGAATAAAACCGCCTGCCGAAAAAGTCAGAGCAATCATCGATTATGCAAAACCTAAAACTATCGAAGAGCTAAGGCGTTTTCTCGGGATGATAAATTTTTACAGAGAACACATACCTAAAGCCGCTGAAATCCAAGCACCACTTCACGCCTACCTTCACAACACGAAGAAAAAAGATAAAACGTCAATCGAATGGAACGATGAAGCCACGAAGGCATTTGAAGCTT